CAAGGCACGTCGAGTAAGCCACACCTTTGAAAGACGATCCCAAGAACAATCAGGGGGATTTGATGATAGGACACCAGGCCTTTTGGCACGATGCTGCCCCACAGGTGTTGGGGGATCAGAGAAAGAATTTTCCGCGCACCTCTGTCTTTTTTGACTGCGAGCTACTGAGTCTTGAACCGCATGCATCGAGCCAAAAGGCTTGGGATCCGAAAATATCGGTAGAGATGGGGAAGAAGGCATGATAGAAGGGAGAGATGTTATAGAGGTCGTCCTGTAGGTCTGCGGTGACCGAGTCATGCTTGCCATCTAATTACAGACATGGCAGGGGAGGGAGATGGATGCAGATAATACCAGGTGTTTCAGGGTTCTGCTGTAACGTTGGTTTCAGTAAATATCAATAAACCTTCAAAAAAGCCAGCTAAATTATATGAAGGGCGGGAAAATAGTTAACTGAAGAAATGGAAATATATTAACTAGAATTAATTAAGATTAACTAATGAAATGGAAGGCACCGGCAACATATTGGAACCTCACCTTCACAATGTTTACTTTATTGTATTTTATTTTATTTTTTTCCCTTTCGCTTTCTGAAGAATAGCTAGAATAACAATTAACTACCATGGCCAGTTAGATAGGACACCATGAATGCGAAATTGAGTTGCAAGTTCGACACCTTGGATTCGAGGCGATATTTAAACACATCGGCTGGCTTGGTGGCTCCGCCTCCCAAATCCAATTCATGTTGGCTTCATCGCCATCCTCAGGAATCCCCGCCGACTTGCCATTGACATTCTCCAGGTCTGTCTGTATGTTTGGCGGGCTTTCTCGTCCAATAACAACGTTGGTTTGATCCCGTCATGTAACTTGACCACCGATCCCAATGTTTTGTCCTCCTTTCGGACTCTCGGCCCGAGAGCAACCTGATATCCTTCTCTGAGCGAGGACCACTAACTATTCTCCAGTCAAAAGCCTCCCACCAACCGAAATCAACCCCAGGGAAAAAGCAAAATCACCCGGTTGGAATCTAAGAAAGGTTGCAGAAATGGAAGATCAGACCCGTGCTTCATCTCCCAGCCATCCTCGCCACTCGAGCCAACTTCACCACCGCTCAGACACACCTACGTTGACGACTAACCCCTTGGCGTCGGAAGCGCATGCAACGGCCACTGGAGTCGAACCATTGCCTTATCAGATAACCCAAGAGCCTTCTGACGAGGAAGATCAACGCCCGCCTCGCTATACTCTAGAAAACGACCCCTTCCAGCTAGCCAGTAAGCTGAAGTCTGACGCCGAAATCGACAAGATTAAGGCAAATACAGCTCGCAAACGAGAGGGTGGTTCAAACAAAAGCGTCACGAGTTCTTCAAAAAGGCTTCAAAGCTTTTACAAGTCCCAGAATGAGAACATTAAGAAGCTGTTAAAGCCAGTCGACGAACATGTGCGGCTCGCAAAGGAATACAACACCCAGAACCAGCTCAAGTACAAGATCGCCGTCTATGGTAGTTTTGCGGCGAGCATCGTCTTAGCAATCCTCCAGCTCTATGCCGCTATTGCGTCAGGATCTCTATCACTCTTTACAACAATGGCTGACTCTATTTTCGATCCGATGTCCAACCTGACCCTGCTCATCAGCCACAAGGCCGTGACACGCGTTGATGCACGCAAGTTCCCCGCTGGAAAAGCCCGGATTGAAACGGCCGGAAATATCTTTTTCTGCTTCCTCATGACATCCGTATCACTGATTTTGATTTCGTTTTCCGCCAAGAGCCTTTCGGATGGGAACACTGAGGAGACCCTGGGGTTTCACATACCCCCCATTGTTGCAGTGTGTATTGCGTTCTCAACTAAGTTCGCCCTGTTCGTGTACTGCTGGGCACTCCGAGACCAATATTCCCAAGTCCGGATTCTGTGGGAAGATCACCGCAATGATCTCCTTATCAATGGACTCGGCATCTTGACTTCGGTTGGTGGCGGTAAGCTCAGATGGTGGATCGACCCATCGGGTGCTCTGATCCTCTCCTGTCTGATAGCTATCCTGTGGCTTCGAACTGCCTATTCTGAGTTCCAACTTTTGATTGGCGTCACTGCAGATACGCAGATGCAGCAGTTGATTACATATATATGTATGAAATAGCCTCTCACCACCCTTTCCCCGGTTTTTGTTTTACTTTTGTTATCCCGCCTCCCTAGGAACTCCCCAGATACCCATCCCCCCGACCCCAGCTGGCATCTGTCCTAACCCTTCCCCATTAACAATTTTCAATTTAGCAATGACCCATTCCCCAATGATCCAAGCCATCGACACCGTACGCGCTTACACATCAGGGCCGCGTCTAGTTGTTGAAGTCGACATCGTGATGGACCGCAACGAGACCCTTATGGCTACCCATGATGTCGCAGAAGAGTTACAGATGAAGCTTGAAAGCCTTCCCGATGTGGAGCGGGCATATGTCCATGTCGACTATGAGACTACCCATAAACCAGAGCACTTTCTGAAAAAGGAGCTCTAAGATGAGAAACCAATCACACCAGCGTGCTCGGACAGCTTAATATCGCACGACGTTGTACTTTTATTATCTAGTGTTTATAATAGATACGTATTCATATTCACACCAGCAGCATGTGAGTTCAGGTTGCCATATTGTATCTGCTCTCTTCGGCCTTGTTTTATCCTTCTGTCATGCGTTCATGTTTAATGTCTGGCGTTTTCCCGTGTCGTTTTCGCTCCTCTAGATCCGATAGACAGGTTGTGAAATAAAAGGAAATACGGATAATGAGACTAAATAGTTACATACCTTCGATGCTAAGTGGAACAAAGCGTAGAAGTGCCAAATGGAATGCGTAGATGGGAACACGGGAACATGAACATTCCTCAAAATAATACACATATATATATATTGTGAAGAACAGAAATATAAAACGATTCCATCAGCGGCAATTATATGGTCATTAGTCATTGGCTTCCCATCCTCTACAGACATCCGATCACAGTCCATGCACAAGACCTTAGTCCTACATATCACCTTCTCCAACAATTTATCATTCATCACCTTTGCTCGCCCCACTCCCAAAAATCTCATCCCTTCTCGTTTCTCGATCCCACACGACCTTCCCATCAGCCTTCCGCTTGAAATACAGTATCCGATGCTGCGGAATAAACTCCTCGTCTGTCTGCTCCGACTTCCACCGATCGAGCGGAATCTCCTTTGCTCCCAGAAATCGGTCTTCGTAGCCAATGATGTACTCCGCGCCGTGAAACGAAGGGTCCCAACGGAGCCGGTTCAGGATGTCGGAGGCTGGGCGCAACTTCGCCGTTGACACCGGTTTGCTGGTAGATAAAAAGGTACCTTTCTTCCTCGTGGATGAAATGCTGTCAGCTTCTGTGGCTGCTTCGTTGTCATCGAAATTTCCGAAACCTATGTCGGAGTCGGAGTCGGAGTCGGAGTCATCACTGTTGAAGTCTTGATTGGTGAAGATGCCCCAATTTCTGTCGTCGAGCTTCAGGGGCCCTAGGCTATCCCTGTTTGACGTGTGTAACGTCGACCCAGGCTGAGGCGAGATTGGAAGTATTTCTTGTTGCTCTGGACACTACTTGCGACACTCTGATCCATTGAAGCTTGGAGTGTATTCTGCGCGAGTTTGCGGTCGAATTTACTAAACGTGCGTGTTGGGTCGGTCGCATGATCTGCTTTCCTTAAACCAACTAAGTAGCAACCTTGATATTCGTGCTCCTCTTGCGCCGGGGTGGAATTTTCGTGTTCCTCGTTCTGTGTAAATCTGGCAGGCCAGATTCTGGCCTGGATGTCGGGAAACTCTCGATACAGATCTGATTGATTTGGAACAATTTATCAGTTGAATGTTATAAAGACTAGACGGCTTGTCTTGATCCAGGGCGCTTACCATTAAGGAGGTCCAGGCATCTGGATTCCACCCAGCCGACTAGCGAACTTCCCTTCGCCAATGAAAGGCTCCAATACTGCACATTGATCTTGATATAACTGTTGTATGATTTCAAGAACTCATCGGCAGAACTGGATAACGCCGACTTTCCGGGTTTAGGGTAAACCCCAAGAAGTTCTGCCCAATTTGCATTCCCTTCTGAAATGAGATTCTCGGCGCGTTTCATCTCATCAACTATCTTCCTCATTGAGGGGATTGAAGTGGAACGCGCAACATTGATAATAGGGGTATGGAGAGTGAATATAATCATACCCTCTCGCGGGGGTCTATAATTCCGAGGCGGTTTCTCATGGAAGATCGGGTCATACACAGCGTCTTTCTCCCAGTTGAAGTTTCCATAATGATTGAAAAATGTACAAAGAATATCTGCAGCACTACCCGGGTTGGGAGGGAGGAGCTTCATAAGCCTGGACAACATCAGAGTAATATGAATTCCTCCAAGGTAGCCAAACCTCGAGGAGTAAATTCCTCGGTATTTGGCCCACCCTTTGATGATACGATGTAGTAAACGGAATGTCGCGGGATTCCGAATCGTTCGTTGAAGGTAGGCCTGATCCCGGTAAGGCTGGAGTTTCATCCGAGGGATAAGTGATAGGTTAAATAAAGGGCTTGATTGAGGCAAATTAGGTACTTCTAGCCACCTACCAAACCCACCTATATCAGTTTCTGGGCGCCAAAACCGAGTCTGCCATTTCAAAACAAATCAAACATACCTTTTCGCAACAGCTGCCGCTGGACAATATTGCAAATCGAACTTGATCCCGTTAATTTCAAGCTCCAACATTGTCCCAAAAGCTGGCTTGACCCTTCGAATGATTTTCACTCCTAGATCTATCCTGTTCCTCAATCTCTGGATAATAAGCTCGAAGAAGACGTTCGCGCTAATCGAACCAACACACAGACAATCTATATCTGACGACTCAGTCCAAACTCCTAAGCCAGAAGAACCAACAGTAGTAACTACGATTGAGAACTTCGATCGGCCAATCTCCTCGCCGTTGCTAGGCTCTGATAGTGAGCCGTCCTGGATGATATGTTTCAAAAGCAAGAATGCAGCTTTCCGTGCCTCTGCGCTTTCAGGAGATGGTACAATAGACTGATCTTCCTGACATATTTTCAGCGAGACAGGGTCATCAAAGTTGGGGTGGGCCTTCTCGATATCAATGGGTGTAGATTTCACGGGGATGTTCCCGCGTCCTCCACCATTCGTTCCCAGCTCCAAGGACGCTCTGATCCCCCAATGATCACTTGGGAATTGTAGCTTGATATCCTCGGTCGCTTCATCAATTCGTTTTATGGGAAAGCCAAACATGTTGAACGCAGTGACCTTCAAGTCATCCTCGCCGAAAAGGATTCTATCGTATCGGTGTGGTCTTGGATTTGCCGTGCTGGCAGATGAAGCGGCAGCGAGCGAGTTCTCAAGAGGGTCGAACGTAGCACCCTGTTCTCCGTCACATAGCTGCGTGAAGTCTCGTTCCAGTCGAGCTGGTGAAACCATGTCTTTCATCCCAGTCTGGGCTACAAGCCACGAATCCAAATAGCCAGAATATTGTAGCATGGATTCTAGAACGGGGAGAGTCGCTATAGATTGTGGCGACATCAACTTTCTCTCAGATGCTTCCTCATGAATGATAGTAGACGTTGTCATATTAAAGTCACCAGCGATAACTTTGGGGTTGTTGGCATGGGTCGCAGAGAGGAAATGGAATAATCTCTCGAGCTGTTGCTTCCTTGCCGCCACAGCATAGTCAAAAAGGCCGCTGGAAAGGTGAACACCAGCAATTATTGTTGGGAGGAAACCGGAGTCATCCATTTTCCCAACGTTGCTCAAAGCGAGAAGGACAGCACCTTTATGGTTGGTGCCCAGAGGAAGCCAACTCCACGTAAAGTTAGAGCGGCTCAGCGCAATGACATTTCGCAAACTTGGTAATGGGCCAATTCCCTTCTGATCCGGTGGGCCATGCGTAGCGAAAGGATACATAGTTCGAATAGCATCCTGGCTAAGGATGTAGGCTAAAAAGTCGTCTGAAACTTCCTGAAGTACTAAAACGTCGGCCACGGAGGTTTTGGAGATCAGGGTGTGAAGAAGAATAGGATACCTATCCGTTGCTGGTGGATGCATAGACTCAACTAAGACATTGTAACTTGACACCTTCAGCGTGCTAGGAATTTGTTCCTCGTCTTCTGGGGCACTGCTTGCTTCCGCAGGAGTCCAGATTCCAGCGTCATCCGAAAACATATAGGTGATCCTGGATTCAGCGCCAGAACCACCGCGTTCTGGGTTTACATGGAGATCTTGTAAGGATAATTCCGAGTCTGCTGAAGACAGAGACGAAGATTCCCTGTCATCTCCATCCTGTCCCACATCCCGCGCAGCAATGGCAATTTGGTTAAACGTGGCAGCCTTATCCAAGTCAATTGTCCCCCACAATTTCATCTTGTTCATATTGCCGGACTTCTCGCGGACCACGATGGCGAGCTGCCCCACCTCCCATTCAATCAGCGGGAGTAGTTCTGCCTTCGACAGTAGATAATCACGGGCATTATTATCATTGGCCTTACTCTGTCCAATCGTCAGATGAGGTTGGTATCCCCTCCACTGTCGGTCGACGGGTTGCTTGAAACCCTCCAGAATTGCAGCCCGAAGATCGCTGAAGTTCAGAACACCTTCCCTATCATCCGGTGCAAGGTAGACGACATTCCCACGCCGTTGTGTGAAATGTCCAGGCTTATCGAGGCAAACACGGAGGCGAGCGTTACCAACTTTAGAGAGCCAAATAGAAAGATTTGATCGGATCAGATCAACGGCGGCTGGTAAACGGTCAAATGAAACAAATGGATAAATGAGGTTAATATGAGCAGGCCATTTTTCAAACGCCTGGTCATACAACGCGCGGAGTCGATTAGCATCCTCAACAAGAGGTGAGGGAGGAATAATACACAGAGCTGTCTGATGTGCATTGAGAGTTAAGCTGGTTGGTTGATGGAATTCCTTTAAGTCCACCATGACCTTTCCGATCGCAGTATTCGCTTTCAGGCTTGGAATTTACGGAAGGGAGGGAGAATATATTAAACAGGGTATCTCGTAGGAAAAATATAGAAAACAAAAAGCATGAAATGTGAGCTCAATAAAGACTTTCAAGCACACTTGGCTCTCTGCAGAATTTATACAGAACTCGGCGATATTTCAATCTTGTTGCAAGCAATATGAACTTTGACATGACTCCACCCCGTGGAGATGTGTCAGAGACAGATCCCAAGGCATCTCTCCTCCTCCGCCTTAACGCCTGGCGGGCTTGTACAGAACAACTGAGACGATGTTAAATGGCGTTGTTATGACGCCTGCTCATGCCTCCACGATGGAGATTGGGTGGCTGTCAGCGCTAAATGCGGTGAGCGTAGTCCGTATCAGGGAAAATTCACAGTGAGTCACCAAACCAGTCATTTTGCTGCACTCAAATAATTCCTTGAGATGAAGGGTAAATTGTGATATTCTCCAAAAAAAAAAAAAAAAAAAAAAAAAAAAAAAAAAAAAAAAGAAAAGAAAGAAAGAAAGAAAGAAACTGAGTTGAAGTCTTAAGGATAGGCGGAGAGGGAAAGCTAATTACTGCCTTATCACTCACCAGCATTGTGAATGTTCAGCAATTTAAACAACGTACTGTAAGGGAAATGGAATATTCCATTGAAGTATAAAACTATCAATTCGGTACTTCCCATTATCGCTTGCAAAATGACAGGTTTCTCATAGCAATTTGTATCATTGCACCCGAGGATCTATATATATCGCTCTACATCGAAAAATCATGCCAGCCATAAATAACATTAGAAAAAGCCACATAAAAACGTATCAAAAGCTTGCCCCACACTCGTGGTCATCCGCTTCACAACATGCCTATGGCTGCCAACATCCCAACAAGCACGGATGTCCACAGTATCCAGCGAGTCTCCGTACCCTCTCCAAGCTGTCTTTTGGCTCCTCCCGCTGTCTTCCTCTGTTGTGAAACGCCATCGCCGCTCCCGGCTTCACCTGATTTCGCAGGTGGAGGGGGCGGAGTCGGTGATTCAAACGATCTCTTCTCCTGATCATAGGCCAAACACGCCGTGGGGAGTGCAAACTCCTTGGAAACCAGTACGCGTTCAGCTTCGAGAGGCTTCGAGAAGCTGCCGATACCGATCTCCAACCCAGCCCTGATACCCATGTTAAGCTCAACGGTGGGGACGATGTTGGTGAAATCCCCTATGAGGTCTTCGAGGGTGGGGATGTGGTTTTTCTCATCTTTTCCTTCGTCTGGTCGGGGGGTTGAGGTCGGGAGCGGGTTGCATTTACCGTCGACGTTTTTGAGCTGGTCGACTTTCACGGTGATAGAGGGGATATTGAAGAAAGCGCCAATGTCTCCTGATGTCGCGGCGATCGGGGAGCTGATGCCTAGAAGGATTTCGGGGCGGAAACTGATATTGAATTCAAGGCCGGTTGGCGTTTGCGCCTGAAAAGGAAGGGCTGAGAATTTCGTGCGGTCGCTGGTTGGAAATGTTTTAGCATGGATACATACCACTCAATCCTTGGGAAGGCTTAAAGGGGGAGACGGCGGCACTCAACTAGGGCCATGGTACACATACAATCCGGTGGTGGCCGAGTTGCTTAGATCTTCTATATCGATTGTGAAACTTGCATCATTAGGTACCTGAATGAAAATTGAAATTATTTGATTAGCGTTAATGAGCATTTTCGAGTTTCTGTTAGGAACAAGGTAAAGTGTATAGCAAATATAATGTTGCACATACGGAGACATTGAATCCGTATTCAAACTCGAAAGGTTTATTTAGCGTCAGGGACATCTCAATCTTAGGCCTGAAAATTGGCCCAAAAGCGACAATGCCGGGTATCTATATCGAAGTTAGAAAATATTCCCCGCATAATGAAGAAAAAAAGGCACAAGTGCGATAATCAACTGACCATGAAGGGAGAAATAGGAAATTCTGGTAATGGCACTGAGAACTGCAAACCATTCGCTGCTAAATCCAACTCCGTTGAAAGCTCGATATGCGCAAAGAGGTCCTCTACATCGACCTGGACTTCCCCGTGTTGGAAAAATTGAATGGTATTATTTACCGCATCAATTGGATTGTCCGGATCCTCGAGCTTGAACGACCCCTGTGAGAGTTCCACATTACCGCCGACCGTGCAGTTTTTACATTTCAATGTCAGTCCCTCAGGGCTGGGAGAGCTGTTAGATTCTGGGACTACTTTGTAAAGCAGGGACGAGGGAAAAAAGAAATATTATTCCACTTACATGAAGAGAGAAGACCCTGGGAACTCAGGAGGCATAACGACTTGGTCAATTAATTTCACCGCAGGGTCCGTGTTGGTGGGAGATGCGGGTGCGGTAGGGACAGTGCTTGTAGGATTAGCCGCCTGGCGTTTATTCAAACTAATATTTCGTCGTTCCAGAACTTGGGTCGATGGTTTGCGAGAGAATGAGACCCCGAGCACGCTGAAAGCAGATTTCCAATCACTCGATGTTTTTGATAGAATCATAATTTTTCTATCCCTGCGGATGGTAACTTCTGTGATTCTGCCATGTGGCGGTTCAATATCGAATGACTCAAACGAAAGAGAAGAGATATCAGGGAACTTCTTACATGTGAGGTGCTCTTTGGTCCGCTTCATTGCAATTGAAGTGCGATGACACGACGATAAAATCGGTCAGATGTTCAAGCTCTCTTGCGAGTCTATCTAGAGCATTGATTGAAGTAAAATGTAGTTCTATTTCCGCTGCAGAGCATGAAACGTCAAGCAGGTCACTCTCAATGTCTTCAAGGGTCAAAATCTGTTTTTCACTCCTAACTCCCACACTGGCAGTGAAAACCGAGCCATCAACAACAAATGAGCCACCGCTGCTGCGGCTTTCAAGAAAATCGAAACTGGTTTCCCTTTTCAAAAGGAAGGAAGACGTATCTCGTGCCTCAAGCGTGGATCTCAGAGTTGCCGCCGACAGCACTCGAGCGCGAGCAAGAGCTGAGCTAGAAAACCCACGAGCCAGGGACTCATCAACAAGTCCAGCTAGGACGAGCAACTGCAAGAAGATAATACGGGAAATTAGAGACACGCCCATGTTTCCTCAAGTAAAATTTAACCACAAGATTGATAAAGACATGGAAAACTCCCACATTCGTACATTACACTGGCAAGCCTGCCCTTATATATACTTAATACCTCTCCAGCACAATGTTGCGACACAGGTCGCGACATCGCCAAGGCATCGAAAGGACTGATGGGGCTTTGCTCGGGATTGGCATGTCAGGGATCGTTGCCCGTTGAAGTCAGCCGTTCCGCAAGAATAACCTCAAGTTGGTGTAAGATTTTGAGCCTCTAATGCAAGTTACCCGGTGGTGGAAACGGTTTCTCCGTTGCATGACAGGGCTGGCTGGAGAAGACAGGCGGGGATATGTGTGTCAGAGCCGCCAGTCGACTGGGGAAAAGGAGAACCACGGGCTCGGGAATGGAGTTACATTGTCTGATGACAGAAATAGCCTCGAGCTGCTGCTTTTGAGTTCACACACTCCTGTGGACCCGCAGGGCCAATACTGGAAATGTATGTATTCCCATGCACATGGTTGGACACCGCCGCAATCGGACGATACTCTGCCAATGTAGTCTGGAAGATAATCGCTTAGAAACCTGTCACGAGTTTCTGGAAAGCTCGTCGGAATGGAGAGGTGAAATGAATCTTCAACATCACGCCGAGGAGCCCGCGGTCTTCGTTTGTTCATCATCCCTTGGGGGGTTCCGCTCAAGGGGTTTCAAGGTATGTCCTGTCGTGTGTCATGTAGGCTCTAACGGCAGCTCCATCGCCCCGTGGCTGTGGTCCTGGCAGCGGGACAGATGCCTGTCGATACATGTGCATCCGCCAAGTATGTGAGTTTCGCACCCGATGTGGTTAGAGATCATTCGGCAGTCAACACCACGATATTGAAAGAAAGGATGATACCCTCTATACGATGTCGAAAGATCTGGCTTGGCCTGTTGCGGAAAATCGCAGCGCGCTGAGCTTATGCCAAGCCGGCCGAGGAGAATGCTTAGGCGAGCCATTCTCGACTTCGTTCTTGATCTTTGCGAATATATCAACTCCCGAATAATGTCGGCTCCTTTCAGCTTCAAAACTCCACTGAAAGCTAGCGAGTCGGCTGGAAATGTCATATAACTGCCAATCGAACTTTTAGTTACATCGCATTAGCTGCTATATTTAGACGCCAAGCGATCCTGATATTAGCCGCCTCTGAAAGTGAGTTTTTTCCCTCGCATGGGGGACACTCTTTACAAACGACATTTGAGGATATTCTTGTCAATGTGTGCTTGACCGTCAAATCATTTGGGATGTTCCCCGCTTTCATGCAACTCGGACACAGGGAACTGCCACCAGAGGAGATCCGTGCCTCGCAGCTCACCTCTGACCACTGCCGTTTCATTCACTTCAAGCCGGGGTACTACAGGTAGCTAGCTGAATCTGGGAGGAAATACAGGAAGGATGTCAGTCTAACCCCTCGAACGTCGAATCCAGCGAATCACAATGCTAGCTGGCCCTCGTTGAATGTTGGGTTGGGAACGGCTCCATCAATCTGACAGAGTTTGTTCAAATGCTATCTACGATCATCAGCCTTGAGAGGGAACCTCAGAGGAGTTATATTTAGCCCTTCTTCGGAATCCTCCTGACCCGCCTTGCAAAGCTTGCGAGTCTGGAGTCTCTCAAGAACCAATGGAGCAACATCTAGAATAACTGACTTTGAGCCGTTGCTCAAAGTATTATGAAATTATAGGTAAATTAATCTCCTTCTAATACTACCTCAAATAGATCTTGCGAGCCATGGGGTTGCCATCCTTGCACATCGGGATTTGTTCATTACCCTGGTTCAGTTGTGGGAAGGGCGAGATTGAGTATAAAAAGCCTTCATGACGTATTCTGCGCGTATATACAGTATGTATTCATGTGCATGCGCCGCCTAAAAGCCACGCTTTGAGGCCTATTCTTTAATTGAGGCGAAGAGGGGTAAAAAGGCGAAAAAGGTTAAAAAAAAAAAGGGGGGGATAGAGCGCGCGGGGCCAAAGAAAAAAACCATAAATATATCTCTCCTATGACAAATATTGATGGGCATAGATCTCGTATGAACCGCTATAGCGCAGATACACACAATTACAGCCATTACATTGAACCTTAGGGAGCCTTGAGAATCAGAGAAAAACAAAAATCCATACACCGTCCCTGAGTTACCAACTACAGGACCGCCTCAGTGCGGTTTGCCCAGGCCTATGCTCTGAAGGGCCCTTTGCTGAATTCTTTCCCGTTTGCCTGCTTCCTTCCACATTATGGATAAATAGTTGCATGGAAGGAAAAGCAAATGGCGATTTCGACGAGGGACATATCGTTATTTCCCTTGTCATTTCACTGGGGAGGCGGATTTCTTCGGCAAATGATGTGGGTGGTGTTGGCTCTTTCTGAATGAACTTTATGCAATGTTTCTCGCGATGCTGTATTTGAATGGGTTCCCATATTTGCTCTCTGCGATCTCATAGGTGGCAAGTCGTGCTCTCAACATCAACAAGAGCTACACGCACGTCCTGGTCAAAAGTAATGATCGTTCTCTGAGAGCTGTGAGGTTCGCAGCACCAACTTGAGCAGCCAAGTGGTGCCAGTTACAACCATGGAGATTCTGCAGGAGAGCAAAAACAATTTTGCAGAGAATCACCACCGCAGGGCTTCAGGCAATGTCGACAATAGCAAGGGCTGGTCTGTGTAGCCAGGTCGCCTAAATACTTCTTGAGGACAGAGCTCTCAGCCTCTTGAATAACTATTTCAGGTCTTCCCGGCTAACTTCGGTATCCATTTGGTTGTAAACGGCTGCCCAACGCTCTTGTAGATGTAATTCTAGTCCCTATTAAAAGATATTCGGGAGCAAAAGGCACATCCTTCAACAAGTTCAGTGCACTGAGAAATCCAGCCGAAATCCAAGGCGGAAAAAGATCGGGGCTCGGAGAGTGGGGGTTAGGTCACTCTCATCGGATCTTCGGGAGACTTGTGCATGAAGATGCTGCCTCGATGTTCAGATGTTATAATAAGTAATTTAATTAATTTCACAGCTTCCTCCGGCAGCTCCAAGGAAATCTCGATCACCGTCTGTCAGCAGGGAGAAGTGCATACTGCAGTCACATTCTTAGGGTACCTAGATTCCTACATCCACGATTTGCGCTTGAGTGGAACCTTTAGCATTTCCGGGGAATCCATTCGATGGAGACATCGTAAGCGATGAGAAACCTTGAAACAAGATAATAAACAAACAGCAAAAAGACAAAAGAAAACACAAAAGAAACAAGTATAAAAGATCAGCATTATTAGGTTTATTAGCAATAATCAGCTTAAAAAAAATGAAAAAAACCAACTGAAATGAAATTTATAAAAGGAACTTCACTCTGCCATGAAATTTATGCAGTACTAGTAATGATAATGAAATCGGTGATTTTGGGGAATCCAACAAGAGAACAAACGAGATGTGGACTCAGAAAAAAGGAAAAGAGAACAAAAAGAAAAAGGAAAAGAAAAATGGCCGGCAAAAACAAGGTAATGGGACCTCGCCACTACCTCCAAAAAACAAGAAACAAAGGCCAAGGTTCTGCAGAGTACTCCGTACTCTAATCTAATAAGCGATCTTTCATTATTCCTTTTCGTTCATCAAATATGCCTATTATCGGTAATTGGGAGCAACAGGCTTCTATGGTGAGACCAATATCAGGAAAAGTAAAGCAGAAAAAGCGAGAAAAAGCGAGAAAAAAGGGGGAATGAATGCGCAAGCCAAAGTCCCAATATGGACACAAACGGAAAGAAAAGAAAATGGTGGAAACAATGATTCATAGCTAACCCGCTTCTAGAAATAAATAATACAAACTTCATGCCCAACCAGCACGTGTTTAATCAAAAAAGAAAAACAAAAGAGAGAAAATGAAAAAGAGAAAAAAAAAAAAAAAAAAAGAAGCCGTCAAAATGAAACAGTAACCAGAGAGAAAATAGTTTTTGGAAAAACATGAGGGCTGGCGAGAGGGTAATTCACTTCTTCGACTTCTGCAAATTATTTTGCGGCATACTTTTAAGAATGTCATCAAAACTCATCGTGGGATTATGGCTCTTCTGTCGCGGGGGGGGCTCAAAAGGCACCACACTCGGGGGAAGCGGCAATGCTTCTAAGCCCATATAGATAGAGGCGCGATTACCACCATTTACCCTTGGGAGATTCCCCGGTGAATGCTCTCTGGGCACCGCGATGCTGATAAGTGGTGGTGTCTGGCAACCTGGTGTTAGGAGTGGAGTTGGCTGCCTATCCGATGAAGAACCTGTTATCGAAAGCGGAGGTGGCGGTGGCACGGTTCCTCCAATAACAGAAGCCGAATTCTGGCCTTGGAATCGCTTCTCTGCCTCACCACCATCAAGCATCGCTGGCGAGAGCATCTGTTGCTGATTCGCCCACTTCATCGCTACTTCCCAACAGTGACTGCGGCGGTAGGCGCTGTCGGGAGCGTTCGTGACTGAGGCATTAGGTAGGCTCACTACGGCGGAGCCATCGGCGACGCCGAACCACGTTCGTCCCGATTTTGAATCGTCGCGACACCATGGCATTCCGCCCCACGGGGCTATGGATAGGAAGTAGTCCACCTCCTGTGTGAAGCGGAGATCAGGCGCATCGATAATAACCCTAGGCAGCGATTGGAGGACAGCGTACATAAATAGCCACTGGCCGCAGCGGTAGTCTGCCAGATCATCGCAGCTCCTCTCTTTCTCTTTCGCCTGCTCGCGTTCAAAGTGCATGAAGTTTGCGAGGAAAGCAGTTGGTTTGATGCTCGTGTGGTTGTACGAGCTGAACAGGATTTCGCTGGCTTCACCTGGTGCGAGTTTTTTAATCCGTTCCTTGCTTTCCATTTCCGGGTCCATTTTCTTGCGGATAGACAGTATACTTGGAATAAGAGGCAGGTCAAACGGGACTGGGGGTTGGACAGGTGGAGTGCTTCGGTCATACTCGCTCATCATCTGTCGAAGAACGCGAATGGTTAAATCCTGAGGGTCTGTAGTATTGCACTCGTTCATCATCGCCATATCGACCGTTCTTGTAGTCAAGGATGTTCTATCAACTAGCATGTCGTAAAGATCTGAGAAGTCTTGATAGAGTTCTATCAGGACTAGGCGATTCAAGCCACTTTTCTCAGATTGGTTCCTTTCGGAACCTGCTTTCGGTGGCCAAGCTCCAAAACGTTTGGCATAGTAGGATTTGACATCCTTCCTGAGTGCTAGAAATGCATTCTTCCAGTTCTTGAACCGTACCTGTTTGGCTCCGTTTAGAGTGTTAGAGTTGGCGATACCAGCGAAAAGAGATGGAAAGTCAAAGTCGTTCAGCTTAGTTTGGATGATTTCAAGTTCCTTTCGGAGGGCATTAAAACCTTTTTCTATGTTCTCCCGCGAGAGGTCCGAAATGAGGAGGTACTTGGGGTTATTAAAGTCTTCGTTCTTCAGTCTTCCAACACCATGAATAAAGCCTTCCCGATATAATGGAAAGAATTTCATCCGTTCTCCTAGGATGATTGCTTCAAGAATTTTCTCGCGACTCTTCCGCACGTCATATATTCTAAGTTCGTCACAGTAGGCAGCAAAGCTAGAGGTTGCTGTCTCTCCGAACCCTGAGCCGTCCAGATTCGTAAATTCAAATTTGGAAAGAATCCCGGAAATCTCCATAAAAGTATCAAACACTGAGGGATTTCCAGGAGTACCAATCAAACACTGACCGATTAAAAAAGCAAATAGATTTCGAAACAGCACGAGCATGTCGATATCTGCATCTACTAAGGCGGAATTCGGATTGGAAAGGTCGCTCTCGAGAGGTACGGGTACATAAAGATGTAGTGGTTGAAGAGGTTCATCAAATGAGTAGTCCCCAGATATCCTGCCAACCGAACTGCTCCGATCGTCCTCCAGATATCCTATCTGATTATGTACTGGTAAAGACCCTGTCGCTGGCAAGTTGAGCTGCGGCAACTCCTCTGGTATTGTACGTCGT